TGGACTTCAACTCCCAGAATCCCCCACCCAGCAAACTCGGGGAGTTGAAGTCCACCCATCTTAAAGTTGCCGAGTTTGAAAAACACTGATCCAAAGCTTCATGAAAGCAGATGAGCCAAGCCCCCAACTTGGCTGCTGCCAGGGCACACCCATTCACTCCCCCCACAAATTCTTGGTCCAAAAGGAAGGGAGCTAACACTTCTGTTATTATTTCCCTGATCTTCCCACTACTGAGCCAGGTCTCCTCTTCCTTCCTCGTGGCCCATTCCCGAAACCAGAATTAGCTGCAAAGTTCTGGCGAATGCCAGGCACGTGGCAGGGAAGGGCCTGGCACAGCTGCTTACAAGGGAGAAAACGACAGTAGAACTCATTCCTACCAAACCTTTGGTAGAAATAAATCTGTACATTATCTCAGGCAGACATATTCCACCCCCTGCAAAAAGAGCTGAAGCCAGTCAATAACATTGGGATCAACAAACCAGGGTTACGACTTGGTAGCATGCAGCCCCAGGGCTAAGTCAGAGGGCACCGAATCACCCCGCTGGCTGGGTTTGCCCAACTAGCTTCAGCAGAAAGACCTGTCCACGCGACACGTTAAGTCATTTTAACCCTGTGGCCTCATGTGTGGCACGAAGTCACCCTGTCTAGCGAGCTGACGATTTCCTAACACGGTGGGAACCCAGGAAAATGGGCCTGGGTTGAAATGTGGTTCCATAAAACTTAGCCAGCTGGGCCCACCCACCCACTGGACCATCCCAGTTTGGATTCACACTGAGCCCAAATCCCTCCGTTTTCTTCTGAACCCTGAGGACTAGAGCCTTATTTCCTCCGGAGGGAAGCGCTACTGCATTACTCTGCTGAAGCAGAGAGATCTGAGGAGTAAGACAAGAGAGGGAGGCTGTATCGGGACGGCAACCGACAGAAAATACCCAACGTTGCCCAAGCAAACTTCCTCAGCACGGGACGGGAGAGTTACTCCGTTCTGAAACCGTCTCGCATATTTGCAAGCTGTGAAAAGAGGCGCTTGGAAGGGAGGGGAGGAAGATGCATTACGAATCCCTTAAGGAGGGAAAAAATTCTATGCACGTCCTTCTCCAGCCCCTCCCAAAGTTCTCAGCGACAGGAAAGCTCGAAAGGCCGGGCACAAGTTATTCGGACGAGTCCGACCGAAAGGAAAAAACACTCAAGGTGGACGGTCCCACCTAGATCACGGAGCGTGCCAAGAATGCGGAGCGGGTCAGCAGGGCGCCCAAACGCTTCTGGCCGCTGCTCAACCCGCAGGCCCTGAGAAGCTCTCGCCACTCGGTTCGCTGCCGTTACCAAGAAGGCCTGGCCCTGGGTGGGGGACTACAATCCCCATCATGCCCACCCAGCAGAGTGGGGGGAATAGGCTAATTTTTTTTTTTTGCATCTCAGAAACGTGAGATTTAAGTTTTTAGGGCCCTTCTTTCTATTTATCAAATACCATGATGTCACTTAATCCAGCAGGCGTGCAGGTTTAAATTCCCAGAATGCCCCAGCCAGCATGGCCGTGGCTAAGAATTCTGGGAGTTGAAGTCTATATACCTGGGAGGGAGAAAGCTGGTCTAGTCTGGCACATGGGGAGGGTACCCCTTTGCAAAAGTTACAGTTGGTGGACCGAACGACACACAACCCGTTGACCCGTAAGCACGGCTCACAATCCACAAAGGCACACCACGTATTAAGCCACGCTGTGGGCCACGTGGCTTTGGTTTAACACACTGTGCGAATCACAGGAGGCGAGCAACAGAGACACGAGGCTGGAACTGCCCTGGCTTTACTCCACAGAGTCACAACAGGTGGCAGCACCAGGCTCAGAGTCGGATGTGGCCATTCCTGGGATGGGAGACCACCAGGAAATTCCAAGGGTGGGGGTCAGATTGGGAAGCTGGAAAAAAAACATCCTGGAAAAAGCACACGGGAAACTATTTTTGTACCAATGCCTAAAACACAGTAACAGGAATCAAACGCAATTCCAGGGTTCTCGGCTTTACTCCACAAAAGAGCACAAACCTCTAGATCAGCCGTTTCAGATCAGGAATTGCACTATTAAAGAAAAAAGAAAGGAAGGAAGAGAAACTGGTGGGGTTCGTCAGAGACTCAGACAGAAAGGCAGTCAATGAATGTTCCCATTTTGCAGACGAGAAATACGGAGGAAGTTTTAAAACGAATCAACCAAACAGATAAGGACTTTTTAAAAAAAATTATTTGCCATTTCTAAGGCCCAGAAAGTCGCATCAGCATTCTGAAGTCCCCTTTCATCAGATCGGGCAAGTTGCCCAGAGTTTCCCGCCAGGTTCTTCTGGCCTCAGCAATCTTAAATCTGTTCAGTGTTTTCTTCTTGTAGTTCCCCGAAGGGGAAACTCAGAACTTTTGCCTGCCTGTTGCAAAACCTGCCACAAAGCTGCTGATGCATCTCCCCCTGCCCACCCCCGAGTCTAGGTTCCTTGCAATTTCCCTTTCTATGCACCCGCCAAATTCCCCTCCACCGCCCTTCGGGCACCTGGCTGCCTCATACCAAAGTTGGCAAAAGCTATCCCGCCCCGCCAGCCATCGGTCAGAGACACTCCACTGCAGTGTTTTTCAACCTTGGCCACTTTGAGATGTATGGACTCCAACTCCCAGAATTCCCCCGCCAGCTTAAAGTGGCCAAGGTTGAAAAACACTACTCCATCTGAACGTCTACTGAGCCCTGCAAATGAGTTAGTTCAGTCCCTCAGAGAAACACAGTGTGCCCCTAATTCTGTCCAAAGAGAGATTTATATGGACAGAATTGCTCTGCTAGTGCAAAACAGCAACAACAGGGCTCACTGCAAGATCAGTCTTCGGCATTTGGATGGGAGGCCACTAGGAAATCTCAGAGCTGCAGGCTAGAGAGGAAGCTGGGGAAAAAACCCTTGGAAGGTGGTGGTGCCAGACCATTTCCTTATGGCTGCGGAGAAAATGTGGACCATCCTAAAACAAGAGACCAAACTGATTGATTTATTTATATTTACATTTCAAATTTGGTCACTGCCCATCTCACTAGGAAGTGACTCTGGGCGGTTTACGGTAAAAACAAAAAATAAATATTAATTAAAATACAATAAAAATATAATAAAAACCATATTCATACATAAATCGTATGTTCCAAGACGTTGCTGGTAGAAAGGATGTTGACACATAGGAGCATCTTCAAATCGGAGTGGATCCCCTTAATTAAGGAATCCCTTGCTTTGGGCCTCCATCGTTTTTTAACCCACATCATTTCTTTTAACTGCCACTGATCTAAGGAAAAGCGCTTCAGTTTCCTGCAGGGTTTTGAGGGGGGACAACGAACCCTGTTTTGGCTGACTTGATCTGGAAGGAGGGCCGGGACCAAAACAGCCAAACAAATCATCATCGGAATTCTTGGATGTTCCTGGACGCTCGGAGGTCGGGATGTTTCCACTGACTCACGCTCCCAGGAAGACGTCTGCCGTTGCGCTTCAATCTCCTTCGACCGCAAAGCTTCTGCAGATCACCGTTGCTGGAAAACCCCCTCCAGGATCTTCTCCCCAACCAGGGAGACCCCCCCCCAATT